TGTCGAGTCAACGAGGCATCTGCAAAAGGTGGGAGTGGAGAGGAAGAGAACATCAGGGCCCTGCCAGACTGGCAGAGATGGGCCCCTCCCCAGCTGGCACCAAGCCTGGGCGCCCCCCCCCCGGCACAGCCCTTCTCAAGCAGCGACGCAGACTGCTAGGTGGGCAGGGGCTTGGGGGGGGTGATCTGCCTGGACTGCAGGGCTTCCCCAGTTAGTAAGAGGGTAGTCTAACATCTAGTCCAAAAAATCTCTCTGTTTCGGCTGGTTGCCCCTGCCTTCCCGAGCAGCAGAACACATCCTCGCCATGGTGGCCCTTGAGACCCCGGCTGAGGGCTAGCCCTGCGCTTTTGTTGGCAATATTTGGAGAGTGCCCACAACATTCTCTTAAGTCCTATTGGTGTCCTTGACAAAAGCACGGCGTCGTCCACATACAACAATGTAGCAATATGTATACTTGCCAACTTAGGGGAATGATGCTCCCGTAGATTTAACTGAGTGGCTAAATCATTTATGTAAAGGTTAAATAACAGGGGGGCCAGTATGCAACCCTGTTTTACACCTTTCTCGGTCTTGATAGAAGCTGTAAGATGGCCTTGTGCATTAGTTTTAACTCGTATTGTGGAATTTTTATATAGCGCCCTAATTAAAAATAAGAGACGGTTGTTGTGGGTTTTTCGGGCTTCTTGGCCGTGTTTTGAAGGTGGTTCTTCCTAACGTTTCGCCAGTCTCTGTGGCCGGCATCTTCAGAGGACAGCAAACAGTTTGCTGTCCTCTGAAGATACCGGCCACAGAACTACTAGGCCGGTATCTTCAGAGGACTTCACTATCTTCAGAGGATCTTCACTATCAGCCAAAAAATGAGAAGTCAAGACTGGGACAAGATTGATACCCTCTCTTACAATAAGATGGAAAAAGAAAGAAATTATGAACCACACAGACAGACAAAAACGGAAATTCAACAAATGCCAAACAAGCCAACAGAAACCTACACTAGATACCATGCGCATCATCATCAACCTATCGGGACGCCAACTCTCCCCAGAAGAAACCTTAGTCTTAAGCAAAGGAGGAAATTTTGCAATAACGCCCAGCAAAATTCCTGTGGAAGATATAATTGCCAACGTGGAATCAGCATTATATCATCTTCCAGAAGAAAAAGCAGAGGAAATAAGAGGGGAAGTGAGAAAGAGAGAGAGAGGTTTCCAAATGGGTGAGACTGCCCTTAAGAGGCAACCTTGAGTGGAGGCTTCACACATCGCCACCCAGAGAATGGCTTCTTGTAATACAGTGCACATAAAAGGCCAAGTAAATCGACTGGCTCATATCACTGGGAGAAAGATGTGCTGATAGTCAATTATTTTTTAAACAAGAATGTCTGCTTCCCAAAACGGACACCAGGACAGAAACGAGCCCTTCAAGACCGAGGCGGTCATCTGAGGTCCGTCACCCTTTGGAGAGTAAACACCACTATACCCAGCGGGCACGCGGCAGAGCTGGTAAAAACTGGGCCCAGCAGCTGCTCCCGGGATCAACGGAGGTGCTCTCCGGCACGGGCTGTCCTGACCGCAGGAAGCACGGCTGTGGGGCCTGCCTCTGGACCAAGGGAAAGGGGGCGCTCAGCCGACAACACAAGCTTGTGTGCCCCCCATTCCTGCAAGCTTTCAACAAACCCAAAGCGAAGTAGTGGGGACTCTCAGGTCTTCTTAAGAAATAAAGGTGTACTCTACCTTTCGGAGGAAACCTTCTCCCCTGTTTCAAGGTCACCACTTCAGCCCCAGTGCTGGGGGAGGCGGGACCCCCCCTTCGAGCTCCAAGGAACAAACAAGGGAAGTTCAGAGGCAGGAATTCCACTTGCCTGGTCATGATAAGCGGTGCCCGCAGTGCTGCTCGGTCCACCAGGCGCGGGTGCGGGGGGAGGCCGCTCCACAGGGCAGCTGGATTCGCTGAATGGCGGGGAGAGGGGGACGCTGGTGTGGGGGGCATGGTGGTGGTGATGGTGGTGGTGCGGCAGGGGGTGCCCGTGCTGCTGGAAGCAGCTGGCGTGCGAGTGGCCCAGGACATGGTGGCTCTGCGAAGAAGAGGCGCTGCAGGGGGAATGCTGGGGGCAGCAGGAGGGCAGCCGCGGCAGGGCCGGGGGGCCGGGTTCCAGTGTTGCACTTGAGGTATTCCCTCTGGCGTCCTCTGAAATCCAAAAGAACGAGAGACAGATGCCTACGCGGAACTGATATACGCGAGCACGCTGGTGGCAAAAGGGCAGCTTGGAAAGGGTGGGAGCAGCGCAGCGGGCGGCGGGCCTGCGCTCAAGGGAGCCAGAGGGAAGGTCCGTGTGTGCAGAGGGCTCCTGTTGGCCTGCCAGCCAGCTTTCCTCTCCCGCAGCACAGTCCACCCCATGTCCACTGCCGGACGGTTCCTGTAAAGCCTCCCCCCACTCAACGTGCAACCGCTTCAGTTCCCAAGCGTGTTTCTCTCCTCTCCTATTCGGGCCAGTCTTGGGGTCCCTGCATGCCTGCCCCTGGAGCACAGGAGGTGTCGTTCGGTCAACACGAGGCTCCACATTTCGCCCCCAGAGCTCAGAGAAGGATGCAAACCTTTTACAGCATTGCTAACTTTCCCAAACTCGAGACTGCGCAAAGGACGGCTCCCAGCGGTTTTAAGATTAAACGCCATGGCAGCACGTTAGGGCTTTCCACCTCAGTCAATGTTCAACTGCATGCCGAGGTCACCGTGGGTCCTTCCTTGTCAAATTATTTTCTGCCTGGTCTCCAGGGCTCTAGAGCTGCTCTAGAAAGCCACCAGGCTCTGCCTGGCTTCAGAGGGGAACCCTAAGCCAGAGAGGCTTGCTTTCTTGCACCGTCTCCTCCCTTTCCCCTACCTGTGACGAAAAAGTGGAAGCAGAAGCGGAGGTCTCTTCCAGGGCCTCCCTGAGAGCTTGCTCCTTCTACCTTCTGCTGCTCATTTTCCATGGTGGCAACCAGCCTCATGATTTGGCAACCCAGGGGGACTTCTGTCTCTGACAAACTGTCCCCTCATTTGACCAAGGGGTCCACTACAGAGAGGCGGCATCTTCTGCCATCCCTCCTCTCTCTTAATACTCTCGACCGGGGGATGGATTAGCTGAGGAAACCGAGAGGCCAAGACGACCCCTGGGCTTCTTCCTAAGCCCCATGGTCCCTTGTTTCCCCTGCAGAGGCTCGTTTCTTGAGCCACAGAGCAAAGCCCAAAAGCACCAAAAGGTGTTCCTGGAGGCCTCCCTAATGGTTGGGCCAGACCTCTTTTGAGATTCTCACTCGTTGCTTGCTCAGGAGATAAGCCCCTGCAAGGAGAACGGCAGCCCTCTGAGGAAGAGGAACACCCAGGCCCTGCTGACACCCCCCCCAAAAAACCCCACACCTCTGTGCCAAAGGCTGCCCCCCCTTTTCAAAGCACAGGGGCAGCGACCGCCACCCACCTTCTTCACACCAAATGGGGGTCGGGATGGGGTGGGGGGCAGAAAGGGAGGAAATCTCATCCAGTACCTCCTGCCGAATTCCCAGCAGCGGTTCCACTGCCGGTGAGGACCACCAGAGGCTCGGGGACAAAGGAGGGCTGGGTGTTGGAGACACCGGGAGGGACGTCAGAGACCTGCTCTGAGGCCGGGGCGTGGTGGCCGATACTGTCGGATGCCGGGTTGGCAGGCTGGAGTTCCCCTCGGGCAGACGTCGTGGGCACCACCGTCGGCTCTGCGAAGACAAAGTGCAGCCGTTCGCAACAGGGCAGCCTGTTTGGGCAGCCTGTCAGGCGTGCCATTGCACCGGCGAGCTTATCCCTGAGCTCCCCTCAGCCTCCTTTCCCCGGGAGAGGCAGGCTCCCTCTAAAAACGGCACTCGGGCCTTCTTCGCCCTCAGTGGTTCTGTGGATCCTCTTAGCGGGCCAGTCTTAACCACCTCCGCCTCTCGCTTACAAGAAAGCTGTCGGAAGAGTCTGACCACTCCCACCTCTCTCACTCCATCACTCTGGAGGCTGAATAGGGGCTGCTGCGGGGGGGGGGGNGGAGGAGAGGGAAGGAAAGAAACGGCAACAAACCTACGAATGTTTTTGCAGCTGAGAGGAGGCGCCACCTGCAACCTGGACTTCTCCAGGTATGAGCTGGGGGAGGGACTGGGAGAGAAAATGGAGGCAACAGCTAGGAAGAAGGCTGCCGGGAGCCAGAGGGGTGGCTATAAACCACTGTGTGCAGGGGTTTACTTATTGTTATATTCCACATGCACTGGCCCACAGGCTTGTGTTAGGTACCCAGTTAAAGACCTAAAGATCATTCATGACTTCTATTAGATTTTTTTTTTAGCTGTTATGTTGATCAATCTAATAAATATATCCAAACCTATTGCGGCCACCCTGTGGTCTTTATCCTTCCACTCCCAGAGGGCCTCCCTCATTGGCTGGCTGAGCCGGGACCGCCCGGAGTGGCAGACCCCATCCGGGCTTCTTCCCCCAAGGGAATGATACGGCCGCTCTTCTCCAGGGAGGAGGGGAAGCAGCAGGGGCCACGGCTGAATCAGAGCCGCTTAAGGGCAAACCCAGCTGCCTCCTCTCAGAACGGTGCCAGACCCTCCCTGACCGGATCAGGGGGAAGGACACGGATCCACGGCCACTTGCACCTTACCGTCCTCGTCCACGGTCAGGTCCACAACTTCCGCCGCGTTCTGTCGCAAGGGCTGGATGACTGTAGAAATCCTGCTCCGATTCCGCTGCTCCTGCGGTCGTGGGCCTGAACTGTGACCCCAGTGGGAGCGAGGGTGGCCAAGAGACGAGCGAGACCTGCCAGGCGGGAACAGAGGGGCTAAAGACCACCCACCACCACCAGCTCCTGAATGCTCTGCCCACAGGATCAAGCCCACCTTTCCCCCTCTACCCCCGCCCCCCGTGACAGCACAATCACCTGATGCCACTGGGGCAGAACACAATGTACAGTATCACAAAGAGAAAAATTCCAAAGAGTTTTGGAGATCATTCCATTTAAAGCAAAATCTACTGTCTTCCTTTTTAGTCTTTGAAATTAAGGTTCTGTGGTTCTTAGGGCCGGATCTTAAATTTTATGGTTCAGTTTGTGTACAGTTGCATGGATACATGAAGTTTTCAGACCCCAAATTCTCAGAAGAAACAGGCTTTCCAGCAGGAGGACCTGAGATTCCAGAGCCCAGGAAAGTTACCTCTCGGGACATCACCACCAGCGACCACGTTGGCCGGCTGGGCAATTCTGAGACACGTAGGACACAAAAACCGTAGCTCTCTGCAGCGTGGAAAAGCAACTCTAGAGACTTGTGGCTAATCGGAACAGATAAAATTGGGACTGATGGGCCGGGGAACACCTTCCCAAACCCAGCAGGGGAAACTGGAGCCAATAAGAACCATGTGAGACACTTCAGCAGGTTGTGAATCCCTGGGGGAAAAAAGAACCGACTTCCCAACCTCAAGCTAGGGAGAGACCTCACCCCCCCACCCCCCAGGGACCACCTGCTTTGCATGCAGACAGTTCCAGGTCAAGACGCCAGTGTCTCCACGGAGAAGGACCCCATGGTGGGTAAGTTTCTTCCTTGCCTGAGACCCTGCAAGCCCCTAGTTATCCCAACCCGTTCTGCAGCAGCCGAGGTGCAGGCAGAGAGCCAGCGAAGGCCGCCTGCTAATCAAGGGCTATGGGTGTTTCATAGCCACTAGTGGCTCTGTCAAAAAACCCGAGTCCCACTATGCCAGTAAGGTCCTATATTTGTTTCCAAGCATGCCGGATCTTATTGATGGGGGGGGGGGGGGGGGGGGGGGGGGGGGGAGAAGGCAAACCAGGACAAGTTCAGAGCATCCCAAAGTCATGCCAACAGAGGGGCATGCGCGGCAGGAACAAGCGAGAGACAGCAAGTCACACCTGCAGGAGAACACGAGGGAGATGACGTCCTCGTAATTATTATGAAAACAGGCTGGAGTCAGGCATACCCGTGGGTGGGAAAGGGAGGCAGAAGGTCCTGCCAAGAACAGGCTTCTAGGTTCGGCTACATTCAGGATCCTCTGCTCCCTCGGCCAGCCGACAGACAGCTGCTGCTGCTGCGCCGGGGAGAGAGGGTGCAGGAAAGGGAATCCCTGGAGGAGATGCCAGGTTTCTTTAAAAACAAAACCTGAAGAGAGCATTAGCGTGGTGACTACCAATTCTAAAGGGGGAAAGATTCATACATATTGAAGGGTCGAAGAGAGAGTTGTTGCTTGGCTCTCCTCTCATTTGCTGAGAAGACTGGATTCAGAAGGTTATAGAAAGCATTCCATTCATCTTTGATCAGGGCATCAAGGAATGTTCTGTGAGCACAGTTTGATCCAGGGCTGACACTTTAAAGCGCTGCTGTGACTCACAAGACCAACGTAACTGACAGCTCGAGAGGGGATCTGCATATTTCTCCCGAGCACCACTGCAGCATCTCCCTGCAGCTGGGTGGAAAGATGCTTTCATGTGCAACGCAAATAATACATCTCATTTAATGAGACAGGAACAAGGGAGATGTTGGAGGCTAAACCATGAGGCCCCCAGCAAAATAAAACGCACGGGGAAGAGAAGGAGCAGGAGGATCAGAGTATTTAAAACAAACTCATGACAACAGCCTGGCTCCCTGTTTCTCTTCCGTGACAGGAAAAAACTTCCGCAGGTCCAAGATACAGGAGGGACCCACGATGGAGAGCCACGAAATAACCCTATAAACGGATGGTGGGCTCACTGACTGACTCTCTCTCTCTCTCTCTCTGAAATGGATCCATAAGAAGGTATTTGCAAATGCACCAGAGCACAAACACAAAACAAGGTAAATGCTAGCAGCCTGAAGCCACGCATTTCTGTCGTTCAGCAAGGCTCTCATTTTGACTGGGAAAGGCAGCCGCAGAAGCCTGTTAATGCCACTATCTACCTAAACAACCAGCATTCTGTCCAATTAAGAATGTCCCCCAGGTAGGAAACTTCAGCTCTGGAGACAGCTCACATTGACCAAATGCGGGGGAGGGGGGGGGATGACGGAAAGGGAAAAAAACACTCTGGTTTAGAGCTAATGGATTTCTCAGAATCAGGTTTTTGAGAAGGCTTGGAGGGAACACAGGAAGTCACCCTCTGCAAGAGGCCTGGCCTGCCTAGCTTAGGATGATGGCATGCAGTCACCAGAAGAGGGATTGCTTCTTGCCTCTCCTCCTGGAGGTGCTCAAGACTGCGACCAGAACCTTTTGCTTGGAAAGGAGAAGCTCCCCTTCTCTCCCTGACCCCTTTTCAACGATCAACCTGCAACAGGAAGGCTCTCTGGCCACCAGTACTGAGCCAGACCCCAGCTCCTGCCAAGGCAGAAGGACTGGCTCCAGCCAAAGGCGGGAGGGTGTCCCCAACTCCAGTCCCCAGGCAAGGGTGGGGAAGGGGAGCAAGGCCCCCTTCTCCTGGGGTGGGGGCTGCAACTCCCATCTTCTTTCCCCACTGGCTACGTTGGTTGAGTCCGAGGAGTGCTGCAGCCAAAAACATTCCTGGCAGGGCCACCCTTGGAGGCGAAGACTCTGCCTCCCAGAGAGGGCACCTCTTAGGGTCTGGCGCACCAGGCAGCAAACAGAGAAGAGGAACGAGGATCCTGAGTAGAAGCCAAAGCCGGGAGCCTTCTGCAATTCGCCTATGAGTCCCACCTGTCACAATGTTTAAGGAGTTCACATTTAAGCTCCAGGGCATCCAGAAAGACCTTTGCTCCGTCTCCGGAAAGGATCCTATTCTGACCAAAACAAAGAACAAAATGAGCCAGGGGAGGCCTTACCGGTAACTTTCTCCAACTGTTACAATCTCTACTTCACTGTCTGTTGAGGTAACGTTGATTTCTTCATTGGCAGTGGCTTGGGGAGTGGAGGACGCTTCGATCACCACCACGTCTTCATCGATAGTCCCTGAAATGCAGGAGGCGACGGAGAGGTAGGAGTCAGGTGGAGGGAAGTCGCAACAGGGCGGCATTTCACGGGGCATGGAAAGCAAAAGGGTACGGAGTGGAGACAATCAACAGGCAGCACAGGAAATGTAAAGGGCGCCACTGTCTTCTGGCAGGCGGTGTCTCATCATATGTGGACCCTCTGGAATGGGGCCAGACCAGCACGTCACCTCCATAAAGCAAGCTCGGAGATGCCTGGACAGTCTCCTCCTGTGAGGGAGTGAGGCCCATGCTAAGTGCTCCCCTGTAAATAAATGTCTTGCTGGGAAAGAGGTCTAGAAGGATACGGCCCCCAGTCTGTACAGAACAGTAAATCCGTGCATCTCAACTGCTGGTTAATCATTTTTTCACTGCTTTCTTCCACCATAACAACCTACATAAGAGTAGCCAAAGACGCTTGTGGTATCATAAAGACTGAACACATTTGTTGTGGCATAAGCTTTCATGCACTAAACTTCATGGTGTGAACTTCAGCCAAACAACACAAGTGGCTGTAAAGATGAAGGTACACCTACACAGACGTACTTCATACACCGAAAGGAAGCAGGGATAAGAGGAAGCAAATTTACGAGTGCTTGTCACCAAACAAGAAGACAGACATGGTTTAATTTGTTTTAAGGGCTGAGTGTTTTTCTGTGGAAAGGCAGAAGATAAATGTAATAAAAGAAAGAAACAAGCAAGCGAGTGTTAAGCAAACGAGCTCATAGAATAAAGTGCTTTAGATTTCCTCCCCAGGCATCAGAAACTGCTTCCGAAGCCCCAGCTACATCTGTGCCGGTGGGATGCACAAGAGAAAAAGTGGAGGCACTCGCCAGAGGAGACAGTGGGGTGGAGGTCACCCACTCTGTGGAGCTTCACGGAAACAGTAGCCTTGAGCTGTCATGGCTCGCAGATCTTTTGAAAAGTCTTATCATCAGAATTCTAACAGGAAGAGAGGCGTTTTAAATGGGTACACACAGAGGGTTAGGTTAACCTCTAGCTATAAGAATGTATGCCCGACATCAAGGTCCCCAGCAGAACCACAGAGGAATTCCAAGGGGGCTCTGGAGCACTGGGGAGCTCATGGCAGGCAGCCTCCCAACGAAACACGTCACCTGCATCAAAGTTAGGCGGAAGGTGGTGTCTTTTCCAAGAAATCGAGGTTACCAACCTTGACAGCCTGGGGAAGGGGGGGGGGGGCGCTGCTTCCGAAGACCCAGCTACATCTGTGCCGATGACACGGCCAAGGAATATTCATGCTGGGGAAGCAGAAGCCAGCCCGCCGAGTGGGGAAGAGAGGCCCAGAGCTAATCCAGCACCACCATGTTCAAACTCTCCACCTCCGTGGGGTGGAGGACCTCCGGCCCTGCAGAACGTCCGGACTGCAGATTCCAAACCTCTGGCTCTGCTTGCCCAGAGGCTTCTAGGAGCCGGATCTAGACTATCCCAAGAACCATCCCTTCCCAGCATTTGGGCCAACAGCCGGCATCTGACCAACCACCACATTGAGGAACATCAATACATGCTTCGAGTCACATCAAGTGTTTGGTTGGTCCCTCGAGCCTAGCAGAGCTGACCACTGGGAGAAACGGTACTTTCGCATGTGCATATTTTTAACAAGCCGCCTAGAGTGGTCTTTTAGACCAGATGGGCGGGGTATAAATCAAATCAAATAAAAATAAAATAAAGGCACACAGCCAAGGAATATTCATGCTGGGCAAGCAGAAGCCAGCTTGCCAAGAGGGAAAGAGAGGCCCAGAGCTAATCCAGCACCACCATGTTCAAACTCTCCACCTCCGTGGGGTGGAGGACCTCCGGCCCTGCAGAACGTCCGGACTGCAGATTCCAAACCTCTGGCTCTGCTTGCCCAGAGGCTTCTAGGAGCCGGATCTAGACTATCCCAAGAACCATCCCTTCCCAGCATTTGGGCCAACAGCCGGCATCTGACCAACCACCACATTGAGGAACATCAATACATGCTTCGAGTCACATCAAGTGTTTGGTTGGTCCCTCGAGCCTAGCAGAGCTGACCACTGGGAGAAACGGTATTCTCGCATGTGCATATTTTTAACAAGATATGTTGCCAGGGTCCAAATTGGGCTCAGGGATCTTGGGCCTCACCCACCCATCATAAGATATGTTGCCAGGGTCCAAATTGGGTTGCTGTTATGGAAGCAAAGCAGAAGTTCTGCCCTGAGCGGACGGACACGGACCTCAGGGATCTTGGGCCTCACCCACCCATCACCCCTCTTGGGTCCTCCTCTACGTGGCCTCCTGCAGGGAAAGCTCCTCCCCTATCACAAGATTCTTTCTGCTGACTCTCTCTGTCTCTCTCTTTTACAAACGGGTTCACTTAAGAAGGTCCCTTGAACCCTTTAGGGAGAACAGGAGGTACTTTTGCCACGTTTCAGGGTACTTGAGTTATTTCAGCCCGGTGGCCTTTTTTCAAAACCAGAAATGAATTTGTTTTTCTTTTTTCAGACCTGGCGCCTCTGGCAAAGCAACAGACCCAGTCACACCAGGGAGACCCAGACTGAGCACAACAGAGGCACAAGGCTCCACGGATCTTACCTGAGGGAACAGCCATACTGTTCTGGTGGGTTTCCCCGGTCGACACAAAGAGATCTTCCTCCCCTTCCGAGGAGGAGCTGGAAGAGGAGTCGCTACTGAGGTCATTCTCGCTGGAGCTACTAGAGCTGGGTAGCAAAGCGTACTTCCTCCGAGCTAAGACCTCCCTTTTTTTCCGCTGCCTTAAAATCCGCTCCTTCTGGTTTTGCGTCCGCTGCGAGGAGCTGGTTTTCACAAACCGCTTCCGATAAGGGAGCCTCCGCAGAGAGCTGCCGCTGTGGAAACAGGGCCTTTTCATGAGCAGGCCCGGCACCGTCTCCGTCTCTGTCCGAGGCCACTTCTGCGGCCGAGAGCCGTGAGTTCTGCTGGAGGCGTTTAACACCGACCGTGTGTGCCTCACGGGGGCCGCCTCCTTGTCCTCCTCGGACGTGAGGGTGTCGGAGTCGCCAAAATGCAAACTAGACGAAGGGGAAGAGATACATTCGCTGAAAGAGGAGTCGTTGTCCTCGCTCTGGGTGTCGAGGCGCTGCCTCAGCCCTAAGACCCGGCCGCTCTCCTTGCTGCCGCAGTTCTGAGCGTAGGAGGGGCCCGCCTGCTGGCTCTTGCGCTTCTTCCGCACGACGATGGCCTCTGGCTCCGGGTGGCTCCCAGGGACCCCTTTCTGCTTCTGAGAGTCCCCGCAGAGGTGAGAAAATTCCTCCCCGACTTTGCTGGCAATCATCTCTACCTCTTCTTCCGGGAAGCTTTTGGCAGCCTCGATGGGAGGTGGCGGCGGTGGCGGCGGCGGCGGCGGGTTCAGGTAGATTCCCTTCAGGCTCTCCTGGCTCTTTGGTGCACCAGAAGAAACGTCACTCTTCATATCCGCTTCTAGGGTGTGGGCTGACTGACATTCAGGAGTCCATTGAGACATGGAAGGAGGACAGCGGAGGCCCGGCTGAAACCAACACAAACACAAGACCGAGACATTATTCTTTGAACACCGAGCCATAAAACACCAGTTATAACAGGTGCTCGCCAAGAACTTCCTGGTGGAATTCATTTTTTTTCCCTTTCACAAGTTCCAGGAACGACTGTGGAAACTCAGTTTTGGGGAATCTACCCGTACAGGAAGTAATGTTGTGCTTTTCAGACTATTGTTTTTGCAGTAACCACCAGGTTGCAATGTCTCAGATTTAAAACAGAACAGAACAAACATACAAAGAAACAAAGCAGCAGAAAGCAAAAAGGTACTAGGAGAGGAGAAAAATAAGAGAAACAGTTTAGAGATGACCGGGCTACAAAGTTTTAGATGACCTGATGTTGGATATCTTTTAACCCTAACTGGTTTTCTGCCAAGAAGGGACTCACAGGACGCCATGTTAAAATACTGATGACTGGGGATTGAGGAAGAACTTGATTCTCTTCCGTCATCCTGAAATTTGAGGATAACTAAAAAAAAAACCTAGCATACCTAAAGCAAAAAAGCTTTAACAATAAATAAATAAATAAATAAATCCAGAATTCTCTTTCAGCAGAGTCCTGCTAATCTGTGGAACTCCCTGAAAACTCAGGAATTAGCAATCCATGATCCAGTTTCATTGCAAACATTTCTTGGATAACTGGAATTAAAGCCAACACTGATGTTAGTTAAAAAACATTGGGTCCAACCATGAGGTTCATAACCTCAGCGCGGATGAGTCCGCTGAGGATGGAGGGGCTACAAAAGTTCTCCCCGGAATGGAGTGCTCCCTAGGAACCTCCAAGTATGGCATCTTATGCCAAGATTTCCTAGTATCTTTGTGCCACCATCACAACTGCAAGATCAAATCAGGCTTCCTACCAAACACCCGCAGCACCAAACCCCATATTATCCTTCTCATTTGATTTATTATTATGACTTGTCAAATGGCTGGTGACCAATAGCCTTCTCAAGGCATGTGAGATGGATCAAGGAGTGGTTTATCATCCCCATCCCACAGTGAGTTTCTCTACCCAAGAAAGAATCTGAACTCAGGCCTCCGGAGTTCCACTAGGCCACACACTGGCTCCCTTTTACTCAATACTTATGCCAAAAGTTTGCAACTATTGGGGGAGGGAGTTGGCAGGATAAACCCCAAGATTGTTACCCACAGGCATTTACGGATGTACCTGGTCTAATCTTCCTGATTTGGTCTCCCAGTTACGCAGGTGTGCAGGCATCACGAACCCCCCCCAGGTTCAAACTGTCACACTTGGGTAGGCATACAAGTAGGTTTTCAGGCATACCAAATGGCAAGGTTTGTAGTTCACACCCACATTTGCTAAGGATGCTGCGCCCCGAACATTCTCCTGCTCCAATGATAACTAGCCCTTCTGCCACCGCTCACCATCCTTCTAATTAGCAGCAGATGCTTTTATTGTCTCTCAGAACCTGGGCAACAGAGGAGAGTCTAGAGAGGAAGGAGTAATGAAGGCATGTATTGTCAGCCCCCTCCTCACACTTACCACAGCAACACATCTGGTGTGGCTGCTGTGAAAACCCAGGGGGCTAGCAACTCGAGTTTAATGAGCAATTACGTTTCAAAGATGTTAACAGTTCACCTTCGTTGCTTATGCCCCAACAGAGGGGTTTGTCAGCTTTAACACATTTTTTTGCTCACAACAAAACAATTTCAAGAAGATCAGACACTCTCCAGTGACTCCAGAGCCAAATAGAACAGACACTCTTGAACTCTGACTTTGGTATCTGATGTTCCGCTAATCACGCTATCAAAGAGCCTGGGTTCTACCGTGATGTGAGGGTGGGGGGCTTTCACCCAAAAAGTATATTTGCAATCTACAGGCATTCTGATTTATTTTTGGAAAGTTGGTGGCCAGGCAAAGGGGGGGAATTGCAAGAGAAACCAGCATGTGCAGTGGTAAACAGACAGATAATCCCAAGTAGGCAAGTGCATAAGGGCCAGCCGACCTGCTCGTGTGAGGACATGGGGGTGGAAGGGGAGCACGCACATTCTTAGGAAACCCCAATATCTCACCTGTGTTACAGGTATATTGGCTGGATACCTTTGAGGCAGAGGGAGAATGTGTTTGGGTTGCAGAAAAATCAAAATGATGAGTCCTCTGTGTGTTTCTGTTCCCCAGTGCTTCATACACACATACACAGTTTGTTAGCTACACAAATGATATAAAAAAAAGGCTCAGATTTTCACACAAAAAGCTGCCCAAGGTGAATCCTGGGAAACAGCCGGCGCAGAACGAGCCCAATGCACGGGGGCTGATGCCTGGAAAAAAAAGGCTCAGCAAAGAGGAAGTGCCCAGCTCAGCATTCTCCAACTCTGATGAAACACTGGCGGGGCTGACCCTGGTGATTGTATGATAGGAAAACGTCATGCCACTCAGTCGCTGATCAGAGAGGAAGAGGAGGAGGAGGAGGAGGAGGGACTGACTGCCATGAAGGAAGAGCAGCCCTGGCTGAAGACAGAGGGAGCCTCCTCTCCCTCACCAGCAGCCAAGCTGGGAGAAGTTCTTTTCTTGGAGTTAAGCCACAGACGCCCCCCCCCCGGTCAACACAGCTGGGAGATTCAGAGATGGGGGCGTCCACCAAAGGAACTTCTCCAAGCCCTGCTTGACAGAGCCAGCACCTACATTGCTCGCGCCTACACTCCTCAAAGAACAAGGAAAGAGACCAAAGGAGTATCTGCAGGCAATGACCAGGTGGAACACAACCTCACCTTCTAACCACAACTACTGATCAGAAGTTGATGGAGGCTGGTGTCTGGCCAGGAAAGAGAGAGAGAGAGAGATTGGAAAGAGATCCGTGGGATGCTATTAGAACCCTCTTTCTTCCCAAGGTTTTGGTGATCAACACTTTCCAAAGGACTGTGCAAGCATCCTACCTCACAGCTCATCATCACCAGCAAATTTGGTGCTACCATTGCATTTAATTCAAAATATTTCTACCGGCCTTATCAGGAAATTACTTCTAAAGCAACTAGCTAGAGTGAAATACTGAAGACACATGCACTTGCCAAGAACACAATTTAAGGTGTGAGAAAGGCACCTGTCCACGCCGTACAAAGACCAGCAGGTAGAACTAAAGAGAAGACACTCTCGGGCACACGGTTGCACAGCCGCTGCCCTCCCACCCCCGCCTGCATCACAGGAGGGATGCCGCTAGCCACAGAGACAGCCATTTATTAAAGTGCCCCTTTCTCAATACTGAGTGCCTGTGATTCGGGATCATTATCTGCAAGTTGTCTAGATCCCAAAATGAAAAAAAGGCAGGACCTCCTTGGATCATTTCAAAAAAGCATGGCTTGCTTCTCCAAGGCACCAACCGTCTGAAGGGTTGAGCCTGGGGGAAAAAACAGACCAGGAACAACACCTTCTGAAATGTCTGGAGCTCTTTAGAAGTTAAAAGTTTAAACATGGCAGAGAACACCAAATATAATTTCATATTTACAACCACTTTACTGGACATTTGAGTTAAGATATCAAAACACGGTGCCTACTCCACTCTAATGCTCTGAGTGTTTCCAATCCTCCACCTCCTCTTCCGTCAAGCATTTAAGACAATTGTTTTATCACAGATGCGTCCAGCTCCACACTGTGCACTGCACGGACTATTTTATGCACGGGCACAGACAAAGCGAACTGCAGAGCCTCATAAGCGTCAAGGCTTTTTAGCGTCAGCTCACATTCGGTCCACTGTCCTCAGACCATCAAAAGGGGCCACCAATGTTAGATGAAGAAAATTCATTTCACACACGGGACTTCTTAGTCCTTTAACTGCCCAGCAAGAAGTCATGAATCAAGCCAGCTGTTTTCATCCTAAACTTCCCATGTATTGCTGTTGTGCAACTACCTCCCTTGAATATTAGGCAGATCAAGTCTAGGGACCTCACACACAAATAAAGGCAAGGAGGAAGCTGCCTGTCCTGTGATGTGCCAGATGTGCTGACGGGAACATCAGTTCTGTTTCATGTGCTGAGTGAGCTCAAACCATCTTAAGTTGGCTCGAATGCTACAGCAGAAAAGCAGCTTGAAAACACTACAGGGCAAAACCGCCACCACCACCATCACCACTGCAGCAGGAAACGAGAGCAGGCATTCCAGGAGCAGCTGCTGCCACTGCCAGAGATGCAAGTCAGCGGCTGCAGGTGCTGCTACCCCTGTGGTGGGAGCTGCTGTTCTAGAGAATCATTTCACAGCTCAGCTACATCTATAAAAGTCTGCAATCACGTGTACGGGAAAGATTCAGGCCTCCAGCTCCAGCCATGTGATCACCAAGCCTTTGTGCTGTAGAGCGAAGCCTCAAAGAAGGGGCTTGCACAGCACAAAGCGAGAAGCAAAGCAACCCGGCTGGCTGTCGGGAGCCCCTCTCCCAGCAGCGGAAAGTCACTTTTCCATTGCTCCGGTAGGGAGCATTTATGATGACTCACATTATGGTGCAACACTTTTGGGTTCAAACTCCAGGGCCCGCTGAAAGTGAGCATGGCAGCAATGCCGCCAATCCGAAAGGTGCCGCCTGCACCTTTAACTAGGAAAAGAACTTTGGATGGGACAGGCGAGCAGCTGCTGCTGCTGAGCAAGGAGCACAAGGGTAGCATCATCCCACACCTGGATGCCACTTAGTTCATTCTGAATCTCAGCACCCTGGGCATCCTAAAACTCAGCATCCTAAACTCAGAACCAGGGCTAATGCCAGAGAGAAGGAAGCCACTGTTCCCCTCTTCTGGCAGGGCAACGTGCCTGGGCCATGTTCCAGAGGCAGAAAGAACGAGCTGGGGCTAATCACAACTGGCAAACACAAGCAAATAATGGTGCTATACACACACACACACACACACCAGAGGTCAGTACCCTGCCTGGTTGGGGCATCACCCTCCATGGTGGTGGGGTCATACAATTCTGCAGTGGAAAAGTCACGGCTCTTCTCATGGCACAGCTGGCTGGTTAGGAACAGGATCCCAAGCTCAAACTGATGCGGGGGCTAGAGACGCTGCCTGCCACTGGCCACCATGCCTGTTCCTTCAGGCATAAGAACTGCTTTCTTAGGTTGCCTCCCATGTTGACCTTTTGCTCACAGAAGGCTCTTTGATCTGACAGCGCCTTCTGCGCCAACGGAGTGCAAATTCTGACAATTCCCCCTTTCTCACCTGAATCAAGGCTTTTTCAAAGGGACCCCAATTCTCCAGGGCAGATTTCAAGAAGACACTGAGGAAGAGGGATTTATGCAAAGGGTTTTGGTTCTCTATCCGCTGAAGCTTCCGCTTGATCGGGGCCCCTTCCATTCTCAGAACTGAACCTTACAGAGAAACAAGCAGGGCTTTCTAGACATTTCCCTATTCGTATGGCAAGGCTTTCAAATAAAACAGGGCCAGAAGGGGTGGGGAGGATCCAAACTCAAAATCCA